ATTGTTTCACCCGTTGCAGAACTGGAGGACATGACCACGCCAGCGCCGCCGAGGCTGCATTACAACGTGGAAGTGAAACTGGTGAACTTGGGCGATGGTTTCACAGCGCCCGCGCCAGGCAGCTCCGACTTCGAAGTGATCTCGAACACGATATCCGACAGCTTCGGCCCAGTTTTCGAGAATCTGCCCGGCTATTATCAGATCCGGCTGAACGAGTTGCAGAAGTGAGTTCGTGACGATGTGTGAACACAGATGTGTTTGCTAGTTAGATAGATAGATAACACATCGCTCGATAAGTCTCCGGTCTAGCTAAGAAAAACAAATTTTCTTTTTAGAAATTCGACTTTATTCGTCAATATACTCTTCTTCGAGAGCGATACATTCGTTTCAACGCTTCTCTATGCCTTTCGATGCCTTTTTCTGTAGAACGATTTGTCTTCGTTCTCAAAATAGGCCTCCGTTTCGGCAAATCGCTTCAGCATTTCAGCCAAATTTCTTTCCCTGGAGCATCTTTCTGATGTTTGCGAAAAGCCAGTAGTCGTTGGGAGCTAGATCCGGAGAGTACGGTGGGTGGGGAAGCAATTTTAGGCCCGACGCGCCACTATAGTGGCTTTCGCGGATGTCATCTTTCAGAACGACACGCCACTATAGTGGCTTTCGCGGATGTCATCTCTCTGGACGACGCGCCACTATAGTGACTTGCTCTAGTAGTTCACTCGCTCATCGTTTGAACCAAATAATCGTCTTCATATGCATTGTTTCACACTTCTTTTGTCTTCGCATCGATTTACAACAATCCACAGGGTGTCCCAAATGTCTCGCAATCCGGAATTGGCGGGTTCCTCGGATCATTTGAAGCAACTTCTTCCTTTACAAAAATTTTCTCCGAGGCACCGTTAATGAGTTATCAACGAAAAACAGTGACCAATAAGAATCGAGTACGGCTGACGCGAGGCGGCCCAGCCAACCAGCGCGCGAAGCCCAGTTCCGCTCATTGGCTCGATCGCCTCGCGCCAGCTGAGCTCGCCTCTCATTGGTCACTGTTTTTCGTTAATAACTCGTTAACGGTGCCTCGGAGAACATTTTTGTAAAGGAAAAAGTTGCTTCAAATGGCCTGAGGAACCCGCCACTTTCGGATTGCGAGACATTTTTGGGACACCCTGTATATGCAGACAGAATATACAGTATCAGACTCTGCCGTCCGGAGAAATAGCCTCGCACAGAATTCAGCCGTACCTAAAAGGTTAACCATCGCTTAACCGCGCTCCGAATCGCCGACGCGTTGTTGTTTTCGATCCGGCGCGAGCAGACGCGGCACCCGCTTCGAAAGCAATTTACACGTGCTCGAATGGTTGTGTAAAATTGTAAACACGCTATCTCCCGATATCTTTAAGGGGTCAGCTGTCTCGCGCGATTTCGCTATACGGTCTTTCGAAACTATTTCCTGGACTTTTTTTCATGTTTTTCGGAACAACTGCCGATTTTGGGCGACCAGAGCGTTCAGCATCATCGGTGTTTGTACGACCGCGTTTAATTTTAGCATACCAGACGATAATAGTTGATTTCCCTGGCGCAGAGTCTTCGTAACGCTTATTGAGCCACTGTTCGGCTTCAACGGTATTTTTCCGCATCGAAAAAACAACGTTTAATCGATACACGAAATTCTTTTTCCATCTATTGTTTTGAAAATTACAAAACTGGGGTCACTGAAACCACTGTAACCTGTAAACTAATCATCGAAATGTCATGCAATTTTGACATGTATCGTTCGAAGAATGCTACTATCCAGAAATCATATAGGTTTACCAACAGTATATAGTATATAGCATATAGCATATATAGTATATAGTATATAGTATATAGTATATAGCATATATAGTATATAGTATACTATATAACAGTATATAGTATATAGCATATAGAGTATATATAGTATATATAGTATATATAGAGCATATATAGTATATAGTATACTATATAACAGTATACAGTATATAGCATATATAGTATATAGTATACTATATAACAGTATATAGTATATAGTATACTATATAATAGTATATAGTATATAGTATACTATATAAGAGTATATAGTATATAGTATATAGCCATATATGTGTCAGGCTGGAGACTTATTGAGTGACGTGTTAGATGTGTTTGTTAGATAGATAGATAGATAGATAGATAGTCGGAGGTTTTTTAATCGTCCTCTTAATCTTTCAAAGGAACGACGAGCAGAACGGTGTTATCGCGAATATGGATCTGATATTGGACAAGAACGAAATCAAGGGCAGGTCACTGAAGCCGGTGGACACCAGCGCGGCTGCGGAGAAAGCTTTGAAAGAAGCTCTACTCGACGGGAAAGTCGGCGCGCTCAGCGTTGACCCGCAATACCTGATCGTTAAAGCTCCTCGAGGTGTGTAAAAGATAAAATGTTTAGCAACGGAGAATCGCTGAAAGTTGCTTGGAATAATTTTCGATTGAGAATACATAGACGAAAAGTAGGTACAAGAATTATGCCATAGCAAGAGTTAAATTAAAATAACAGCAGAAAGGAAAGTTCAATACGCTCTCAATGGTTTTTCTTGTAATATTGTATCTAATTCCATTATATCCATTAGCAACGGAGAATCGCTGGAAGTTTTGTTTGGAATAATTTTCAATTGAGAATAGATGAAAAATAGGCGCAAGAATTATGCCATAGCAAGAATTAAATTAAAATAACAGCAGAAAGGAAAGTTCAATATGTTTCCAGTGGTTTTTCTTGTAATATTGTATTTAATTCCATTATATCCATTAGCAACGGAGAATCGCTGAAAGTTGCTTGGAATAATTTTCAATTACGAATACATAGACGAAAAGTAGGTACAAGAATTATGCCATAGCAAGAATTAAATTAAAATAACAGCAGAAAGGAAAGTTCAATACGCTCTCAATGGTTTTTCTTGTAATATTGTATTTAATTCCATTATATCCATCAGTAACGGAGAATCGCTGGAAGTTCTGTTTGGAATAATTTTCGATTGAGAATAGATGAAAAGTAGACGCAAGAATTATACCGTAGCAAGAATTAAATTAAAATAACAGCAGAGTCCGCGCTTTTGCAGAAAGGGAAGTTCAATACGCTCGCAGTGAATTTTTCTTGTAATATTGTATTTAATCCCATTATATCTTTCCCTATTATTACAACAAACTTAACAAAGCGAGCTTAGTAGTGACAAGCTGATGTGTTCATACATCTCCTCTAGCTTCATACAATATATTTATAGTATATCATCATGTATATATTAATAATATTAAATACGTAAGTGATATAAGGCATTGATCCAACATGGACAATTGTTTCTTTTGTTTTTTTTTTGGTCACCAGTGAACGATTTAATTGGAGAAGACGCGGACGAGGGATCGTCGTTCACGTCGGACCTGTTCCTCGATCCGACCAAGCTGTACATTGTTGTGGGTTGCGTGGCCGCGTTGCTCGCCCTGGTCCTGTTACAAGCGAGCTGCACCCTGTACAGATCGTCCAGAAGACGAACAACGAAGGTACACACAGATCAATCTACCATGAACGTTTTAACTGTCTCTCTTTCTATATATATATACGTAGCGTCCTCTCTTCGCTGTCTCTGCTCGCGTCACTTCTCTCTCTATTTTTCTCTTTATTATTTCTCTCTCTCTCTCTCTCTCTCTCTCTCTCGCTCGCTCGCTCTGTTTCTCCGTGTCTATTGTGTGCATCTAACTCTTTTTGTAACGATCGTAGTGCTGTGTCACTTGGTAAGAGCAGCGCTGGTTTCGAAGCCGAGCCCGTTTCTTCTTGGACCCGTCCAGTAGTAGGCTTTCTAGAGTTCCAACGTATCTTTTCAGCTGTTAAGAGCTCGCGAGAGCCAGCGTCGAGAAGGGGAAGACTCGACTCGGCGAGATCTGTTCACCGTATATAGATCATTTTTGTTCTCTTGCGACTTCGAAGGACGACGCGAGTCGCTCGTCCGACGACCATGATCCCGTGAACAGTTGTCGCCTGTTTAGAGTACAGTGACCCCGCTCTCTCTCTCTCTCTCTCTCTCTCTCTCTCTCTCTCTCTCTCTTTCTCTCTAGTGAAACCCGAAAACGATCTTCTGCTTCGCTTGTGTTGCATGATCCTTGTAAAGAGGGTGTACTCGCTGCCTCTGGCTTCCTCCGACGCTCCCAACCCGATTCATCGCACGAACGCGACGCGGTACCATCGACAAAACGGCGATCACCACCATCACCATCACCATCATCTTCGGCATCATCACCAACACGCTCCATACGATATGCAACGTCCTAATCCCAGCTGGTAGACGCTTCGCACTCGGTACACGATCGACGCGCTAATATTACTCATCGTACGCTCGTTTGCTCACTAATCCAGGTATAATTCTATACTGGTTCTCTTGCTATACTTCTCTATCTATATCTCTCTGTCACTACATACTCTCTCTCTCTCTCTCTCTCACTCTCTCTCTTTCTTTCTCTCTCGTCAAATGTTTATTTTCCCTCGTTTTTCCAGCGTTTTTCAGAGACGCGAGCAGGATTCTCGGTTCTGCGACCGGCTACAAGTGATTGCAAACAATAGCATAACCGCGGCACGACCGTTCGTCTCTAGAAACGCGCGCACAGACGATTTCAGGAATCTACTTTGTCTTCTATTACTTCGAATACATAAATCGCAGATTCGAACGATTCGCGCCGCTGACTCTGCGTCAAGATCGTTCGGAAGGTCTCGAGAGAAACTTATAACTCTCGCCGAGCTGTTCGCCGCGGAAAAGGACGATATCTCTGTCTTCTCAACAGTCTTATAAACTTTAGACTTTGCCCATCTGTGCTAATGGTTACAATCACGTCGGTCAGTCTGTGTATACAAAAACGAACGGCTCTCGTGCGACAGCTTCGCTGTTATCCGCTTCGATAGCGGATGCAAGGGCGTCTCGTCAGCTTCGTTCTTGCATCCGCCGAAGTTGCTAAACGCGAGCACGCGACGCGTTCGGTTAATCGAGTAATCTCGACTAACGTAAGTAGTAATAAAGCAGGTTCGATTAATCTTGACTCGTCTCGTTGCCCCCCCGAGAATAGTCGGCGACACTTATGGTTCGACGCTTCTGTTTCCAGGATCGGCTGATCGCTAGCAACGCTTGGAAGGACTACGCTTCCGGCGCGAACACGAACTTCGCGTTCGAGGCGTTCGAGACGGAGGAGAAGGCGCCGCCGCCGCCGGTCTCGAGCCTGCCGCGTCACAGAGAGATGACCGGGAACGGCCTCGGCGGCGGTACCGACCAGGTGGAGGGCCCGAACAGAATGGTGGGGCCCCGGGCGACGTACAGCTTGCCGCGGGCCCCGGGCTCCAGGCACACGGCGCCGATCCAGCCCGGTTACTACACCCAGGACCGCAGGGACCACTATCAGAGGTCGAAGGGCAACGGGCAGCAGAACCCGGCGGCGGGCGGCGTGTCGACCCAGCCGAACCAGCCGGACTTCTACTTCATGCCCAGCCAGCGGAAGTACAGCGGCGAGGTGGTGCGCGTCTACGTCGACTACGGCAGCCAGGCGACGAAGTAGAAGAGCACCGAAGAAGAGCTCGCGATCCGAGAGTGTTCTCTTCTCTTCTCTCTGCTTTCGCATCACCCCGAGCGGACAATCGCGACACGATCGTCTCTCTTTTTGTTCCACCCTCCCCTCCGACCCTACCCTTGTCTTCTCTAACTCTTTATCAGTTCACCTTTAGTTTACATCGCTTCAGTGAAGCGACCGTGTGTACATAAAACGCAGTGAAAAGCGGACCTGCAAATGGAAATGAAAAAAAGACTTCGCTCGAAACGAGCCCACCCCCGCCGGTGCTGCCCCCCTCGCCCCCGCGCA